ATTAATAGATTGCTACAGTTTCAATTTTTTCTGTAGGAGTAGCGATCTAAATCTAACCTAAACTCAATCTAAACGTTTTAATATGAAGTATTAAGCAAATTAACAATTAACAGTTTTAATTTTTCCTACAGTAGAGTAGCAATTTAAATTTAATCCAAACTCAATCTAAACGTTTTAAAATGAACTAACGAGCAAATTAACAATTAACAATTAACAATTAACAGATTGTCACAGTTTCAATCTCTTCTCATAGGACTGGCGAGTCGTTAATTGTAAAAATCAGAGTGCAGGATGCACAAACTGTGACCAGCAGAGATAAAAACTTCGATGATTGTCGCGATGCAAGCGACACGGGTCGTTTCTTTGCGGCGTGGGATTTCAATATATATGTATATATATATATTACGGAGGAGAGCCGCAAACTAAATAATTGCGTTATGTAAATCGTCAAATATTCCGTTGCTACGTCGGGAGTGAAACAGGTGGTGAAGCGCGTCCGAGTTGCCAACGGTGTTTGCCGTCGGTAATTATCATTAAACCGAAACTATTACGTGCAACGAGGCATGAAAAAGTTGGATTCCCAACGATTGCAGGACCACCGAATCGGGTTTGATCCAGTTCATCATTCGATATTTCGGGAAAGGGCGAACAAACGGCGTGTGGCGAATCAAAGCGTTTCTCAAAATCATTCGCAATGGAACGCAAAGCGTTGGCTTTTATAGTTATGTGGCGAGTTGCGGGATAGACTGGTGCATAGGCGCGGGGAAACAGGAGAGGAGAGGAGAGGGGAGGGGAGGAGCAGGGGAAATTGGGCTGGCAGGCGTGGAACAGTCATTTCCGGCTCGTGCCGGAAGTCGGCCGTATTGCCTCCCTTCGACAGTTCGGAATCGATATTCCAGGTTTCGTTGCCGGCGTGCCCACTGACAGGGGTACGTATAACAGAAATAATAACTTGTGCTCGTCGATGTATGTACATACAACGTGGTGCTCGACCATGCGCTGCGGTCGGCTGTTGAACCGTAACAAGGGGAGGGAGAGCCGGAAGCGCGCGCCACTCTGCCAACTTCTCATTTTGATAATTTGGTCGTTCTTCGAGATACCGGGGGATGGAACACAGCGAACGGACCTCGTTCACGGCGTTGTTTCGCGGTATCTTCGACGAGTCGAATAACAGAAGATGGCGTAATTTCGTCTGGATCCTTCGGAGAGGCTATTGTACAGACACGATTGCAGTGCCGTTGTGTATCTTGATTTTTAGCGGCAATAATGGGAGTTGCTTCGAGTGAGATCTTACATCCCTCTGTGTATTTGTACGGATGGGTCTCGAGAGAGATTTCCAAGCCGGTGCAGAACTTTGGAATTTTTAGTTAGAACGATCGCGACGCGTACAGTTTGTGATTTAGCGTGGTAATTTTCGGAATATTTTCAACGGGTGGTAAGAAGTTTCGCTAATGAAGAATTAATGCTGTTTGTCAGAGGATTCTATTTTTCCAGCTCCGGCAGGATTTCTCTTGGGCTCCATATTCACTAATTTTCCCTAGCAACGTAACACTGGCCGTTTATTCTAGGAATTCCAATTAAGCTTCTGAAGCGTTAATTGTTAGCAGAAAATATTATAATTATCATTGCTCAAAACATTTGCGGAGACAATCGTGGTACAATGAAACATTGTGAAACATCGTGCGCCAATGTCATACGAATTTTATTTGTCACCGATTCATTTGAAATTCTTCGTTTATTAATAAAATTTGCTCGCGATGAAAATGCAATTCCCTTGGCTTGAATTTCCTCTGTCGCCCTCGTAATCGTGACTCGTTACGATATTACACCTGTCACTGTAGAGAGAATGCAAAATAATTTCGCGGAATATTTCACGCGCTGCAAATTTCAACGATTTTCCACTGTTTCGCCGGGAAATTGCGAGGGATATTACTTTGGAAAATTAGACGCCAGACTTCGAGCCATCTTGAATTTGAAGCAAGACTCTGGACAAGACATTATCTTCTTTCTTTGCAATCCAAATCTCGGTCAAGCGAGGAAAAAACAACGCGCGAGTTGAAACTACGTTTCAACTAAAAAAGGACTGGTACGCCTGGGATCGTTGGAATTTGCGAGAGAGCAAAGGAAACACGAGAAGAACACGCGTCCCCTGGTCGTCTTGTCGGCCAGCGTTTCGATTTTCTGATGGCCATTTAAAGAAGAAACGAGGGTTCGTAGTGAGCCACATGAGACCACGGGATAGGAGATGAAGTTTGCAACGAAATAGGATCATCCAATTTACAACTGCGATGGGAGTAGCCGGCACGTTGCGCGACCGGTTTTCCCCCGGCGGTGACATTATTTAACATCAGCGCGGCTAATTGGAACAAACGAGTCGGGCTACCTGGACGTGTTACGAAGACACTACCCTGGACGATTACTCTATTAAATACCCGGAAGCATTTATCACAGGACCTGAGTTTTAACGTCGCGGTCCGCATTTACGTGTACTCCTCCAGCGTGGACACCAGCAACGTCCGATTTATCTTCGGTGAATTTATATTATTGCTAGACAGAGACACATTCGAATATAGAAATGTTCAGAAATGGACCGTCTCACGGTATGTTACCAGATGAAATTTAACAGATATCGTCAAGAATCAGCCTGGAAAGCTTTGATAGCTTTAGCGGGGGAGGAAAAGCTTTCTCTTGTTGAGAAAAACAAGAAAAATCTTGTCTGACTTTCGCAGCAAGTTGCGAAAATTGTGCATCGATGCGCAACGAAGATTCCAC